AAACGGTGAAACAACAGGATCATCAAATTAACTTATTATTAAAAAAAGAAAAGAAAATTTATTAGACTACTAGATCTAGAAAAATGCGGATGCTAATGAACGAACACACAAACTATAGTCGTCACCTTAGAACTGGTTTGCCGCATATCCAGATCGCGTCCGAGGGATTTTCGCCTCTACTGTTTAGTGTAGATTTGCCGCATGTCGCACTTGGGCGAAGCGAAACATAGTTTAGATTCAGTGCTGATTTGCCGCATGTCCAAGCAGAAATCGATACAGTACCGTTATCCGTTTTTACGTACTTCCTTGCTGTTTTGCTTTTCAGCGTTAGGTTTGGGGTTGGGAAAGAAATCGTATTCAACTTCACGCGCAGAACAATAAGAATAATGTGAAATAAATAAAAAAGAGACTTAACAATTTTGATGAATCTGAAATTAAAAAAAAGCAACTGTAATTTGTGCAACTCTTTTTCTGTTGTTATAGATGTTACAAATATTTTCAAATTATTAGATTCGAAATTTTACAAATTTAAATATCAAATAGATTTGTTGTTCGATAAACAAATAATTTAATTTTTTACTAAACAGTAACATTTTTCTTTAATTTTTTCTCGGGAATGATGAACTTATTTTCTCTAAAGTTTTAGTGAACAAGATTTATAACGCTGGATACCAGTAAAAGAGTTCACAATTTTTTGTAGTATTCTTATTCGTAGAAACGATATTTCTACATCAATAATCACAAATAATAGATACATTTTTAATTTTTTAAAATAAAATGTTGTAAAAGTAATATGAAAATTAAAATTTCGAAGCAAAATCTGTTTAGGTGGATTTTGATTCGAAATTTATTACTGGAACGTTTACAAAAATCAGCTTTTGACATAAAATGCTTGCAAATTTGAAACAGAATTGGAATGTTTCTTGACAATCATGCCTAATACATTTTTGACTTGTGTCTTTTAAAAAGAATTATTTCCGAATTTATAGCTATTTACAATGTACGACTTACTTCAAGAACAAATTCCGTATTAGAATTTTACCTATAATAACTAAATAGATTGATGTTGTTAACTTGTATAAGGTACCTTACTTCGAAACGAGTCATTTGTTTTTTAATATGACATTGCCTTTCTTTATCATTCCATTTGTCTAACAATTATTGTTGTGCAATTATACGCGTGTAAATAAAAATAAATTTACAATAACTTATTTATGGGTAAATTTTTTTACCAATTAATTTGAGTGGATGGTTATAATGGTAATAATAGCCGCATAAAATTCACTCACTGTTTAGGTATACCAGATATCAAAAGCTATTAAATCCAAATGTTATTGTTTATTTTTTTTATGTCTCGAGCGCAAGCTAAGGAAGTATTGTAATCAGGTTCATCGGGCGACTGGCTACTTTTATGCCTTCTCAACGTTTCATGACTCCTATAATACGAAAACATAGGTCTCTCGTTTCCGGTTGATAAAACGCTGACCAACATTTGTAATCATCCTCCCCATCATATAACGTCATCTCCAACTTTTACAGCAATAAATGTTATATAAATTTTAAAAAATAACATACTTTTTCATTTGTCGTTTATTGAGATTTTACCCTAACCATCCAGATTGAATTGAATTACCATAACCCTAATTTCTTGAGATTTTGGAAACAGGATATACTACATACATAAAGAAAGTTAAAAGAATTTGAAGTAATGTAATGATACTCTTTTTACATCAACATACTATTATTTATCAATTAATTGGGCATCGTCCAAAATGCTGTTCATAAATTATAAGTGCAGGAAGTTTATGCAAAAACATGCAAATACATTTTTTGCGTATAATAATATGTATTGCTTTATTATTAAATATCTACTCATTTATAAGAATTATTAAAATTAGTAAAAAAAAGTATTCAAGTCTCTTTCTAGTTTAATACCTTACCTTATTAAAATAATAAGTTTAATCAATTATGTAGTTAGCAAACAATGACGTTTAATTTATACTTAGTAGGGTTCACGGCATTAACTTTTCACATTGCATGTTTAATTCGGAGTTATAATTTGAGAATATAATTTACCCGTTTATTTATTTTTGTAGTTTAGTAGTACTTCAGCAAATTTAGAAAACTGTATGTTATTGAAAAATACGTGACAAATCACGAGGCCAGGCAATCTAGAGATCTGACTGCTGGCTTGCGCGGGAAATACTGCATACTTTTTAGATAAAAGGAGTCTATGATAAGCGCACGTAGGAGATGATAGACATAGAGCTAATATTTAGAGCTAATGTATTGGAAAGAAATAGGACAAGTTTACGTGCGCACACCACAGCCTCCCTTTCTTCTCTAAACAGTTTGGGATCATACCATAGTATCATAAATAATAATTGACAAATAATTCGCAAAGGAATCCAACGGAAATATTTATACAATTGTTTACAACTACCAGTACAAATAATTCTTTCATTTTCAACTGAAAAGCGTATAACTATATTAAGTACTAGATATTATGGAGTTAGGGGTAATCAAATAGATTTGGGTTGCAGTCAACATAATTGTCACTGATACATAAGACATGGAAACGAATGATTTATTTCCAAATCCAAATGTACTGCATTTACAGTTTTAAACAGTATCACTGCTAATTTTCTCTGGTTGCCCGAAAATAGCTACTTGTAGTCAATATCCATGTAATGTAATAAAATACTGGAATCTAATTGTTTGAGACAACAACCTATTTTTACCCGAGTGTTCTTTATCAGTTTGAATATTTTATATAAAAAAATTACATATTAAGCTGCAATTTTAGTAGGACTGCAGCGAGTCAACGAGCCTTTACTCCGCTAATGCAAAGAAAATATCATTTTATTATCCTTTGTAAAAATAATTCCTTTCTGTAAAACACATTTAAATTTGGTACTCCGTATTTCGTTCACAATTCACCATTTAACAATGGAAATTAACAATGCAATATTTGGATTCTAGACTTTTTAGGAAAAATGAATGACTGCAATGAGTTTTATCAAATGAAGATTTTATATAAAAATAAAGAAAAATAAGTCTCTTTATTTTAAAAATATTTAGAAAAAATCGAATCAAAACATCAATAACTTAACATTCATTGTTCGTTATAGTTAGTTAACTACTTCACCACGAGATTTCTAATATCGTTTCAATTTTTCATTTATTTCACATTATGAGTCCTTGCCGTATTACTTGTTCTGCGCGTGAAGTTGATTAAGAAATCTTAATCTTAATTATCTCTGAAAAATGTATCTATTATTATCTGTAATTATTGGTGTGGAAATATCATTTCCACAAATACGAATACAGGTATGCAGCACTATGAATTTTGTTGACTAAAATTTTAGAGAAAATAAGTTCAATCATTTCCGACAAATCATTAAATAAAAATGTTACTGTTAAGTAAAAAATTAAATTATTTGTTTAACGAGCAACAAATCTATTTGAAATTTAAATTTGTAAAATTTCGAATCTAATAATTTGAAACTCAATCTTTCTTAAAAAAAAAATCGAAAATATTTGTAACATCTATAGCAACAGAAAAAGAGTTGCACAAATTACAGTTGTTTTTTTTTAATTTCAGATTCATCAAAATTGTTAAGTCTCTTTTTTATTTATTTCACATTATTCTTATTGTTCTGCGCGTGAAGTTGAATACGATTTCTTTCCCAACCCCAAACCTAACGCTGAAAAGCAAAACAGCAAGGAAGTACGTAAAAACGGATAACGGTACTGTATCGATTTCTGCTTGGACATGCGGCAAATCAGCACTGAATCTAAACTATGTTTCGCTTCGCCCAAGTGCGACATGCGGCAAATCTACACTAAACAGTAGAGGCGAAAATCCCTCGGACGCGATCTGGATATGCGGCAAACCAGTTCTAAGGTGACGTAGTTTCTTTACAATGAAAAAGAAGATTCATATATACGACTTATTATTAAGGTAATAGCAAAGTGGTTAAGGCGACATTAAAGGCAAAGTGTGTTATATTTTTTACAAAAAGGATGGCAAACAATATCTGAATATTTTATATTTTCTTGTGTAAATTGGGTGGTGACCCTAGGCATACTTAGATTTACAAAAAATAAATATGGTGTTTTGGAGTGTATATGAGTAAATTTTCTACTAAAAAATGAATTTATTTTTATGTTAAAACACCTGAAAATGAAAAATAAACAAACCTCTAATTTACAGAGATACAAAAGCACTGCCGGTTGTAGAGTATGATCCAGTCAGCTTTAATGGGATTTTCTACCAGTGTTCAACACTCGGTTTTTAATTGTTAACTAAATAATGTTTTCCAATTTTTTGGTTGCTCGTAATGACCATCAAGGAATTTAAATCACATAATTTCAGTAAAGGTTATGTAAAATATTTCCTCAGCTGAAAATTAATCGCAGTAAACTGAGGTTCAAAGAAAGATTTGATGCAAAGACAATTTTCATTAATGTCTATAATAATAATTGTAGCTGGAGTATTTTATTGATTATTCTGAAAATGCATTATCTAATTTATCCAACATTCTTATTATATGTATGTACCATTATAATTAAAGTTATATTAGTAGGTCAAAATTAATACTTATATTTTATGAACCGTAATAGCAGGAACAAAGTTTTGTTATTTCTTTAAAATCCATATAATTCAAAGTAACGTTCACTAACACAATAAATATACTTGTTTGTATCATATCAGATATAGGTACAATGCAAACGTACATACATATTCGTCTTTCGCCTCAAAACGTACCTAAACCTAACGCAAATACTGAAGTCATAACTAATTCTACTTCTGATCTAATAACTGTCGTCTGTTTTATCCCTACCGGTAGCACCAAAGCTGTTAATCCTCCGCAAGTCCCCACTGGAAAGCATCTTAATTCCGCTCCTTCATCCCCTTTAGCGCAATATCGCATTCACTCTAAAGAATTTCCAACCCTCATAAGTATAATCAAACCTGAATTCCTCAACGTTTTCAGCTGTACGAGTAAATGAGAGCTGTTTCTTCAATGAACAATGCGAAACTGAGACACCCGAGACAGAATGCAGGGATCTACTTTGTACATGCAGATTCGAAAAACAAGCGGTGCTAAGAGACGGAAAATTAGAATGCGTAGGTAAGTAAAAAAAAATGTAAATACATTTTTTCTACGATTATAAAGAAATAGAGTCATTATGTATGTGTTACTGTCTGCGAAACGTAATAATTGCAGACACCTCGTTTAGCACCGGTTGCCATGGCAACTGTAGGAAATGAGCTCAATCCAGTGCGGCGTGCAGTTTCCACAATGGCAACCTTACGAGTTTCGGGCGCTGTGTTGTCATATTGATTTCAAACATAGGATTTTCCAACTAGCAAAAAAATCTTCAACGTGGTTTTAGGAATTTATTACAAACAGTAAGATTCTAGTAAATAAATAGTATCAGAATTTGTATAGTTTCTACACAAATTTGATTTTAATTCCTTTATATAAGTAATATTAATACACAACAAACGAGTTGTAAGTAAAGTTCCTGGAGTTGATATAAACATCCTGACAAAACTTGTACGGAACCATGAAATTCCACTAAAAAATGATTCGTTTATGTAAGTAACTATTTGGTTGTAAAAGATTTCTTTCCACTACCCAACGGAATTTAGTCACTAAGAAGTCCGTTGGGTAATAGAAAGAAATATTTTACATTATACTATTGCTTTGGCGTTAAAGTATGATATTCTGTACCTGTTTTATGAAAGAATCACAACTGCGTTAAAAAAATTATAAAAGTAACCCAACTTACTTTTTTAAATTGCCTCAATCTGTTCACTTGAATATCTGATTGGGTATACGACGATAATGGTACTTTACTTTTTGGCTAGTGCTAGAAATATTTCGTCGTCAAACCCTAATCCGCTGAGCTCACGACCTTGTTTCTGCAAAGGAAAACTCATTTCTCCTACATTTCTTCGTGCCAGCTTTCACTTCCTTTACTGTTTCGGTCTATAACAAACTTTTAATAATTAATAACCCTGCGTATCCTATTAAAATTAGATTTGTTAAACCAGTAAATATGAGAATTGCTTGATGCCCCAAATGGTTCTACCTGCCACAACCTGTGGACGTGCAGCGGAAGTTCATACTAATCCTACAGGATTTCATCGAATTAGGCCACACGGCATTCCTATTATTATGTGATGACCCAAATGAACGTCATAAAATTGTTATATCCTGCGTAAATACTACTCTAGCCGTGGATCCCTTTATGTGTTTCTAACGTATTATAAAATTTTCCTGATTTCTTTTTTAGACAGTCCTGTATTCAGTTCTGCAATACCAAAACTTTTTTAAACGGTCACTGGAACAACTGCACCAAGCAACCAACTCTTTCATCTACCATGTGTTCGTACTTCACAACTTGTTCTCGTAATTTATTGTGTAGAGTGCCAAGTGTTAGTGCCTTAATATCTTCTTTGAGAAATGCTACCAGGGCATTAGTCGTCTTGCAAAGTAAAAATTTGTACACACTTCTACGATTTTAGTCATTGATTGATATTTTTAACTTTCATCATATGTAAAGTTGTTTCCACACTGACATTCTACCCCATTAACATTAATCGTTATAACTTATTTCAAATAAATTTAGTACACTATGTTGCAGACTATCGCCAGTTAAATTTTCGTTCATTACTCACTCAATTTTGTTCCCCACGTCTGAAGCAATTTTTTCAGCCAAATGCATTATGTGTTCGATCGTACGGAATGTGTTCATTTTCACGCTTTGATCATTATGAATGCTTCCAATTCCCTGTAATAATTCAATGAAAGCTGCTTGAAAGCTGTTGACCCATTCGAATAACTATTGTTCGTTGGAGGCAAGTGTTTCAACTTTGTACTGGTGCGGCAAACCACCAGCACCACTCCGAAAGTTAGCAATGGAATCCAGTCCTCTCTCTTGAACCCTCATGTGTTGCTACTTCTATTCAGTTAATTATTGTCTTAACCTAGAACTTCCTCGTAGGATATTGAAACTCTAAGTTTCTTGATTGCAACTTTATCTTTCTTGTTCTTATTACTTCCTGCTAACACGTTATTGCGATTATTTTTTTCCCTTTTTTCCTGTTTTGTATGCAATTGTTTTGTTCATGGTAATGGTTGATAATTGTAGACAGTAACCACTCATATTTATTTCTATCGGTTATAAAAAACCAACGATCATGATATATTACAAATCTAAAATCAGAAATATACTACAGATTTAACGCTACATTAATTTCTCCTGTGAGTAGAATAACAAAATGGCGTGTCGGCACCAATTTAATGTTTGCACTATCAACATTTTCCGTCACGCGGCTGGTGTCACTATAATGATCTCATTCCACTACGCTGACCTGCTTCTTAACACTGACGCACTACTTAACGTAGGGCTCAAGGTAACTCTAGGTTTTTGTATAATTATTTTTGTTTTTCAAAATTCAGTTACGGCTTCTTGGTATCTTAAAAATTAAACCACTTGGAATTATTGTACATATTTTCAAATTTTTTTGCTCTCATCACAAGAGTTCTAATAAGGTTTCCTTCTAGTAGCATGTGGTTTACCTTTAACTGTACTTGAATGCATGCACACTGTTCTTGTTCCTACAAGCTTCTGCCGGTTGTTCGGCTTTTCCATAAAATATTTCTTTATAATTTTTTGTGTCTTAGGTGAGCCTTAGTAGGCTACTGTGGAATGACCTGGCTTATAAGCTTATATCAGAAACCCATACGGGTTCTAATGTGTTAACAGAACTGTGATTCAATGATCTTATTTTACTTACTTGATAGTTTCACTGAAGAAGACATTTATTTATATACCCTTTTCAAAGTATATCCCAAAAATATTGCCAGACATCTTCACGTCACATTCTCGCTGTGAAAATAAGGGTTCAAATCTTCGTTCTTTTTCCGAATAACGTTTGAAATGCCGCTATCGAATTCCGATACGGAGTTGTCAGCTTTTTTAACACTTTCATAATGTTTACATGAACTGTGGTATATTTTCCAAACAATTCCAGAAATATAGATAAATATAAAATTTTGAATGCATGTTATCACGAATTTGTTAGCATAATGCTATCCTAAACTTTTGGAAAAAAAAATTGTTCTTAATTTGCTAGTTTAAATGTAAGATCAGGAAATAAAAATTTAAATAAATTCGGATTTTTGACCATAGACAAAGGTATTTTGGAAGAAGGTGTTTTCATTTCATGCTTCTTTTATGACTCCTTCGTATTATCTCATTGATGCCTTTTTAGTCTCGTTAGTGTCGAAAAACACTACTGATCTAACAAATACCTAGGTGGACACTAAAAACTATAGTCATTCCCCTGGCTTCTAGAAAACAAAGAGAATTAGGAGCTTTTATATATTTGATTTGATTACATCAAATGGTCCGATATTAAATAGATATCACATTGATTGATATGCGGCTAATTTGTGACTCCAGGGATGTAAAGACGTTCGATGAATTGTAGTATCTGTATGAATATGAGTTACGCAGATTGTTGACTGTCCCCTTATCTGAAAATAACTTTGAGGGGATGTTTGCTAAATAAAAACTGTCGGATTTTTAATTTTGCCGTGTTATTGTCTTCACAAGAAGTTTGCGTGTAGAAAAATAAAGACGAGAAGTACTGGTAAGCTGGGGTGTAATTTATGACACCCATAATCTCTGGAACAGTTCGGCACCCGCTTGTCGTGTATTATTGTTCGATTTTCGTTCGTCAACAGTTTAATTTTCATATACGAATTTATAAAAATGACCACAAGAAATTAATAAGAAATAAAAATGTGAATGTGTACAAAAATGAACTTCGAAAAATTAAGACAACAAATAGTAAGACCAAACAATTATGATCTAATTGGGAAACTGATTAATTTACAACAAAAAAATCAGTCAGCCGAATAATTATAAATGCAGTTATTTTTCGGACACAAAACAATCACTTGCGTAACACTTAAAAACATTTGTGGCAAGTAAAACTCACTAACTACACTGAAGTAAATTTATGCAAAGATTAAATTTGTCACCGAAAAGATGTCGGAAGTAATAAATTATCCCATCGGTCCAAGAACGTTCGGTGGGTGTTATACCCCAATCCGAGAGAGACCGCAGCAAGAGACAGCAAATGGAACGAATAAAATAAAGCTTCAAACATGATCAGTTTTAAATCAAAATTATGAAGTTTTACAAATCGCGAATTTTTTATTTTTTTTTGAAATATCATAGTAAACACTTCAAAGAATGTCCATGACTTACTTTAATGTGAATTTTATAACTATGGTCGGCACAGTCGGACCTAATATTAGTGTGATTTTGAGCATATTTGCGATTTTATTAGAGCAAAACAGGTCATTTTTTCTCCAATTTTATAAGTTCCGGACACTAATAGCATATCAAAGATATTGTAAAAAAAAAATTGGGTTCAGTTTCCAACTAGTTGTCTAGTATTTGTGAAACAAAATCTACTGTAAATTCACTGAAAACTAAACGGATAACATCACCTTAAGGGGATGTTTGCTAAATGAAAACTGTCGGATTTTTAATTTTGCCGTGTTATTGTCTTCACAAGAAGTTTGCGTGTAGAAAAATAAAGACGAGAAGTACTGGTAAGCTGGTTGAAACTCTGGAAAGCTGGGGTGTAATTTATGACACCCATAATCTCTGGAACAGTTCGGCACCCGCTTGTCGTGTATTATTGTTCGATTTTCGTTCGTCAACAGTTCAATTTTCATATACGAATTTATAAAAATGACCACAAGAAATTAATAAGAAATAAAAATCTGAATGTGTACAAAAATGAGCTTCGAAAAATTAAGACAACAAATAGTAAGACCAAACAATTATAATCTAATTGGGAAACTGATTGATTTACAACAAAAAAAGCAGTCAGCCGAATAATTATAAATGCAGTTATTTTTCGGACACAAAACAATCACTTGCGCAACATTTAAAAAGATTTGTGGCAAGTAAAATAAAATCAATTTTAAGTGTCCAAATGGTTCTACTGAGTGTGTCCCTATACTGAAATGCAACGAGAAAATCACCAATTTCTGCATCAGTACGTACCTATATGTCATGATGTAATGCAAATTATAAAATAAACTAGAGACCAATAATTTGTTTCGTTTTTATTTATGCGTATTTATAAATATACCCAATTGTTTTACTTAAAACTAAGTACTTCAATTATTTGGATTACATATTTCAATTATAACTGGTTCCCTAGCTGGTTAGTATCGGCTAAGTTCAAACTAAAGAGGTATAGAAACTACCTGTGTATACTGAATGGTTATCCGGCTAATTATAAGGTTTATGGTAATCTTTTATTCAACAAAATAAAATTCTTTCAGGTAATACACTTTGATCTTTGACAAAAAGCCGAGAAGCAATAGGATTGGTGATTATATAAAGTAACAATAATAAAATTTCTATTAGTAACATTGACTTACACTTTATGTAAGTGTATAAAAACAGCGGCGGGTCTAAAAAACAATAATATTTATATGTACAGAAATTAGGAAATAAAAGCATAATAATAGTAAAACTAATCAAATGATGATTAAACTGCATTTTTTGTTTGTAGTTTTAGTAGGTTTTTGACATAATAATTCTGATAAAAGTTTTTTCGACTTTTTCGTGGCTTTGAAAGTGGAATCTTCGACTTTCGTCCCATTTCAAAATTTACTCTTTATATATTTCAGTGGTCACAACGAGTTCACTAACTACACTGAAGTAAATTTATGCAAAGATTAAATTTGTCACCGAAAAGATGTCGGAAGTAATAAATTATCCCATCGGTCCAAGAACGTTCGGTGGGTGTTATACCCCAATCCGAGAGAGACCGCAGCAAGAGACAGCAAATGGAACGAATAAAATAAAGCTTCAAACATGATCAGTTTTAAATCAAAATTATGAAGTTTTACAAATCGCGAATTTTTTATTTTTTTTTTGAAATATCATAGTAAACACTTCAAAGAATGTCCATGACTTACTTTAATGTGAATTTTATAACTATGGTCGGCACAGTCGGACCTAAGATTAGTGTGATTTTGAGCATATTTGCGATTTTATTAGAGCAAAACAGGTCATTTTTTCTCCAATTTTATAAGTTCCGGACACTAATAGCATATCAAAGATATTGTAAAAAAAAAATTGGGTTCAGTTTCCAACTAGTTGTCTAGTATTTGTGAAACAAAATCTACTGTAAATTCACTGAAAACTAAACGGATAACATCACCTTAAGAGAATAAAAATAATAGCTAAAAACAATGGTTATTTGGACGAGATCATAGATAATATGTTAAAAAAGAAAATTAAAAAAATCACATCAGCATTAATATATCTTTTAATTAAAGAAACCAATCAGTATAACATTATAACTCATTTTGGAAAACTTTCTATTAAAACTGCAAAAATATTGCAAAATGCAGGCTATAAAATTTCCTTCCGTACCAACAATTCTTTATATAAATTAATAAACAATAGTAAAGACAAGTCACCTAAGAAATCGAATTCTGGAGTTTACATGCTAAGTTGTAGTGACTGCCCGTTAGTATACATCGGACAAACAGGGAGAAAATTTGAGGAAAGGATAAAAGAACATAAATCAGCATTTGTCAATAAAAAATCAAATTCTACGTACGCGAACCACCTTATCCAAGAACAGCATAATTTCAACGACGAATTCAAAATTTTACACATAGAAAATAAAGGCGCAAAATTAAACGTGTTAGAATGTCTGGAAATAAATAGGTACAATAGATTAAATACACTAATGAACGACCAAACCGAAATAAACAAATCTCCCTTACTTAACATAAATTTGTAAACACTATTGTTAAATCAGGTATAAATTCAGGAATAGCTCTGTAAAAACCCCAGTTTCTCTTCTGCCTGAAGACGGTACTGTGTACCGAAACACGTGTAGCAGTAACTACAAATATATTATTTAAACTCTGAAAGTTTTTTCATTATTATAAAAATTAATATGGAGTTTAAACACGTATCAGCCTCATCATTACAAATAAATCTATAAAACTTCTATAAGATTTATAACACGATTTCTTAGTTTCTGACTAGTACCTACTGACATTTGTTACATGGACGAGCCGCATTTCACAGTCTCTCGTTTCCATCTGTTTGTTGTTTCTTGTTCGCCTGAAATTTAATTATACAGATAACCTAGAAAACTACCAAACAAATTAATGCTTTAACATTCCAGATATACAAAAAGCTAACCAAAATTTATCTAATTAAGTAATTATCCTTTCTACAATTCCATATCATTGAAAACTAGCACTAGCTCTAAGTGAATAGTTATAATGAAATGTACAGAGTGACATACTTCTTTAAACATAATTAAATCATTTATCTGTATCTTGAACTTTGCTCAGGTGGATTATACTAACAATAAACATTTTTATTTATTGCAGAAATTTAAACACAAACTTCTTAACAATATGTATCTTCTTTCATTCTGTTATGTGTCAGATTACATGTTTTTCTTTGACGCTTGCGACTATGCATATCGGCCTCCGCATTTGTGATGATGCCGAGGATCTACGAAAACAATGGCCAGTATGATTCGCTGGTTCAGAAAATCCTAATGCAGTAGCGATCTTCTTTCGAATCCTTCCAATTGTATTTATTCCTACCGGTTTCTGGGTACATTTACCTCCCCTGCAGTTAAAAAAGAAACTATCCTGCTTGATTTGACTGCGACGAAAATCCCTGTATTTTTGAAATAAATTCAAGCTACTTATTCCCTGAATATTTCCTCTCGTTATAACAAATTCCCGCATAATTTTAGTTTTTGAATTCCGTAAGGTGATCTTGATAAATTCTCTATCGTCTCTAACGTCTCGTGTGGTGAAATTTGTGATCTCCTCTCGTCACCAAGCACCAAAAACTCCGACTATCAAAACAAACTAAAAGTATAATAAATTTGAGATTGTTTTTATCAGTATGAGCTACAATTACCTTCATAAATAAGAAATTCTTATCCTTGATTTCCTTAAAAAGTTAATTTATCTATTCTTTGGAAAAATAAACTAATTTCTGTATTGGTAACCTTCTGATTTCCACATCGAGAAAGCCACAACCTGATGACACTAATATCAATATACTTCTTAGTCGACACCAACGTCCGCAAGAACCACCTTTTCAGAAACATCACCAATTTTCTTAACTTCCATCCATTCTTCAAAATAATTTGTACACTATCTCGTAACGCTTCTTAGATTTAGCAAGAATTAACGTATTGACAGCAAATTGAGCAGCCACTTCAATATCAGAACGCAAATTATCCTCTGAATTACTGATTTTTGCACATAAATTGCTTTCACTGAACACTTGAGAAAACGTGAACAAACCAATAACTGCGGTTATTAGGTAATGTAGCCGCCCTATTTTTTTTTTTTTCATAAACAATTTTAAAAATGAAAGTAGATAAAATGCTGTACAATATTTGTATTGTAATGTTTCTTTACGATACTTGATGGATTTTCCATCGCGCATTGTAAAATTCCATATTACGATACACATACTTACCTATCGCAAATAAGTAGGTATTATAGCATTCCAACATTCCAAACATTATGAAATATTAATGAATTCATTCATACATTCCATAAAGTTAATGACGACATCTTAAAAATGCAGTAGATTATTTTTTAATTATTATTACACTATTGTTTAATTGAAGGGGCAATTTATAATATTGCGTATATAGCATCGGCACATTAAAATAATACTATGTTGTAATTGTTACTGCTACAGCTTTTACATTTATAAATCACCCCTTTACTAAGAAAAATTGTGTGTAGTATATGCAACATTTTATCACAAAAACATATATTTCTGATTAACTAAAACAGCTGCAACAGTGTATTGGTGATCTAATAGAGCTGCAATACAACAAAAAATGATCGTTTATATGAACGTTATTTGTTCTTTGTCGCAACAAATTTGCTAGCTGGAAAATCTCCATAAATCGCAAGTAGTTTATGATAAAATTTTCGTTAAAACTGCTGTTCAGTTTTGATTTATGAATTTAATGAAAATTTTATAATAATCTTTTTTTTCAAACCGGACAACCCGCACAATAGAGTTGACTCTATTGAAGCGCCCAAAACAATTAACAATAATTTAGTGTGAATAACCCAAAAATCGTAGAAAAAATGTATCGACCAGTTCATTTCGCTTGCATGAATTAAACATTCATTTCATGCCGCAAAGTTTCAGATTTGTGTATGTATGTTGTAACCAAATTGGTTGTTTCAGTTATCCAGAACGTACACACACCAGAGAAATACATCGATCCGGCGATGATTGGGATTTTGGTCGCAATGTTTCTTATGTTTATTACCATTTGTGTTGTATTGCGGTTATTTAGCAGGTAAGGGCTTTGTATTAAATAGAATCGGGTTCGTGTCTTAAGGGTAGAGTTGGACAATCTAGATAAAGCTAATTTTTGAGAGGAATCAATACGGATTTGGATTTAGTGCTTTCCTAGAGGTTCGCGGTTGAGGAAAGGCTGCAGTAAAGTTTTTATCCGCATTGAGAAATCACCGGCAAGTCGAAATATTATAAATTCACCCTTTAAATTTTTATGGGTGAAATAATGAAAACGATAAAAAAAATATATTATGCACCCTTTTGTGTTTTTGCGTAAGCATGAAGGTGGTGCGGTGTTATCTAAGCGTGTGGAATTAAAAGTTGTGAGTGGATTTTCGCCAGCATTGCTCGTTTAGTACAATATTTACCTAGTTTTAAAATTCGAACGAAGGGACATTTTTACGTAGTCTGCCCATGAATTATTAACAAAATACTCAGCACTTTGTGTAAACAAAAATAACTGATGCGATTTTCAAACGCTTGGAAAATAAAACATTGAAAGACGTTTTCACTTTTTGTTTACTTATTTTTCCAACTTTGAGCTCTTATTTCTCTGTCGTCACTTGTTTATTTGTAATTGGAATAAACGGTCGAAATGTCTCCAGTAGGAGACGAGCCAATTTTCGGCATTTGTCTGACTTTGATAGAAGTCGTACTAATGGTATGAGAGCGGGAGATTTTTCATTTCTAGAGATATAGCGTTGCATGAATCGCAGCCAAACGACCATGACAGAATATTGGCAGAGAGGAGACAAAAAATATTAGTCTAAACAAAATTGTATTAAAAAGTATTATGGTAAAATGTGAAGTGTATTTGAAACTTAAAATATCTCAATATGGAAAGTTTACAGATTGCTGGATCGGTCCAGCAGGTGAACGGTCTAACCTCAAATCGATCAAATGCAGAAAAAGTGGGCGGCGCTTAGTCAGGGCGTCAAGAATAGTTTAACCATAATTTAAAATGAAAAACTTGTGATTCAAATTCATCTACAAAATTACCTGAGTTTGATAGAAGTATTCATACACAGTCAATATTAGAAAAAAAAAATTACAAACTTGATGTACACCTTGTTTGTTAATTAAGGTTTCTCATGAATTTAAGAATTTAAACATAAACGTCACACTTAGGTATCTCTTAAATTAAACTAATTAAGAGAGAAAAAATCAATTTTGAATTCGATTTTGAACAAGTTAAAAGATATATTATGATCACACATCATTTTTATGTTTTAAACGTGAAAAAGTACTTATTAGAACAAAATAGGAGCAAAATAACTTCAACTTGCCACAAAATAATAGCACTCATAGCAAAGTAGCCTGTTAAATTGGCTAATAACAACAACGTACAAGATAATCTTCCCACCTGTAATAAAGATGTAAAAATTTATACCTATGACGATAAATAAAATGCGAAACAAGTATGGTCTAACCCTCGAACACTTAGTTACATTTCAGAAACAAATATGATACTTTTGCGTGTTAGAGTCAAAGTTGAGACGCTATCCATGTAATTGAATATGTCGTGTTTGGTGTCAAGTTTGAAGCCTGCACAGTTGTTACATTGTTCCAGCTTGCTTTTTTGAAACTGGGTTATGGCAGCCAAACTTGGTTTTTAATTTACTTTAAGAATAAAACTTAAGAGACGCACTTTATTCTCTTACATGAATATTATGGATAAGCATCTACCTTACAAGTAGTAGGTAATCAGTTTCCGAAGATTTTAAATAAATATGTGACTTTGCATGATGTTGAATTGCCTATAACTTAGCAAACAAAGTGCACTTCTTTTCTTAAATTCTAGAATATGTTATTCTAATTGCATATGACTGCTTTCCAAACGTTTATTTTTTATTAACGCGACCGAAAAAATTATGTTACATCCTTCACATTGACTAAAAAGTAACTTGACACACAAGTTACTGGAAATCTAATTTTCATTACAAAACACCTTCATCCTGTGCAACCAATATTAAAACAAATCCTAAACAAACCTAAACAAATGTGGTAAAGTAATCAGAAATAAGGTATCTGATGTTCCTAATACTGAAAAATCACCTCAAGTGTAAGTTATTGGAACATATATCGTCGTGAGTTGTCTTTATCACTAGCAACTATTGCTCACCTAACAATCCTTAACTGCTAAAATATATCAATGAAACGATAGACTTACTTGAGTCACATTTACATAGGTAAAGGAAATACAACTGTGCTACTGTACCATAACATAACCCTTTTCATGTCCTCCACGATACATTCGTGTTTTTAACCTAACCTAACAAACTAGGGTTGCATATTTTATAAAGGTTAATAACTACATTGTTCCTTAAACTGCAATCCGTTCGGTTCCTATTAGTGCCAGTGGTAATATTTGGAAGAACTATCATTATAGCAGGAATAATGAAAAAAAAATAGGCTTGAATTATTTGAAATAAATACGTAGGTAGTAAAAAATAAACCAAATTCTAAAACAACAATTTCGCCAAAAACGTAAAATTGATTAAAAAAAAGGTAAACATCGTTTATAACTAAATAAAAAGATCTTTAATTTTAGTTTATGTAGCAAATTAACATCTGGAGCATTATGTTCCAGATATTGTCATCTACATAAATTTATAAAAATATCCAAAAATCGTCACTGGTGACATTTTTTTCAATTACATTTTTATTTAAAGAAATAATACACTTACTAATTAATTTATTGACGAAATTTCAGCTTTCAGGTTCTGAAACATAATTTGCCAAAAAAATTTAAACTTTAGTGTGGCTTAGCCACAGTATAATTTAGGACAAAGTTTTAGAAAGGACAATGCATTAATAAACTCAAGCTGTTGAAATCATTTCGTAAACGGTAACCTTGTTTTTGGAAAGCATTTAAAAAAAAACATGCTGATGTGAGTGGTTACAATATATTTTTTTAAAAACTTAGAACTTTGGTGATCTAAATCCTTTTATGCCAAAATTCGATAGAAGTATCTAGAACTCAATTGAATTTAAAATCAGAGGCAAGATCCTATGTTGTGTGAATAAGGCAGTGGTTAACCAATAATAATAATAAAATGCATGTATAAACTTACGACTTTCAATGTTATCAGAGATATTTCAGTTCCTGATTATCAATACTTATTTAATATATGGTTATCTTCCGTGTATTTTAATAGGGAGTAAACAGCTCAACCACCCCAAAAACTTTTTTTAGTTATCAAGAAAAATATTACATCAAGGCGTGGTGTTCAAACATTGCAAGAACGTGTATCATAAGAAGGGTCACCAGACCTATGTCCACATCGAAACTGTGAGACAAATCAACGCTGTTTATATTTTGATGACACCAACACCATCCCCTAGGGGATCTCATCCACTACATACAAGGTGCCCAAGGGCCACCCCACATATAATGTGTTTCCAAAAGGTTACATCCACAAGGGTCGCTACGAAGGATAACAATTCACAGGGATTACTCGGTGTAGGAATAAAAGATCAATTAATTTTTTTATGACAACGATTTCACACTTACTTTGTTATTTATTTTAAAACATATTATCCTTCATCTAAAAGTATATTTTCCATCAAATTTTATTTTTGGAGCTGTTTTAAAAACCGAAACTAGCATGTCTTTTTAACATGAGTGACACACGAATGTTTTTTATTTATAATATTTTTCATGCCATAAAAGCAAGAACTATTTATTGAAGTTCAAAACGTTGTTATTAACCGGTTTACTAGTCTTATCAAATATAATCACTAAATTGGTAAAGTAAATAATTGCTTTCTAAAAATTATAGAGCAAGATAGAATGAATGATTTAAACACCTGTGTAATTTTAACGATTAATAATTTGTTATTTCTGGCTAGGGTATAGTGTTCTGTTTATCGATTTCTGTAGTTAGTGCAATCACGAAACTTATAAAACAAAAGGGGAAAAGCTTCACACGAAAGGAAAAATTGCGTACAGTAGTAGTTGTCCCTATACGACAGCTAATAACGAAATGACTAGTCATAACATAACATTTTTTATCAAAACATTATGATATATTGCTGTTTCATACACATTATCATTTTTACCTTAACAACATTTCCGAACAACCCCTCCAAATTACACCCTGACATCGAATATTTCAATTAGTCTACATTATCAGTTTTTCATTGTACACAACTCCGAACCTGTCCGTCACAAAACATCACAATCGACATATTGGCAAACTGTATATTGTTCCCTTCTCTATCAAATTTCCCCTGAAAACATGTATCATTCATATTTCACGAAATTTCCTGCCTCTACCATTTGGCGATCTTGAGGTTCAGTAACCACATTTTCGCACCCTTGAACCTGAAAGCCGATTTAAACATTTTGTGGTATTGCGTTACCACACAATCTGATAAAACTTTGCTTTTGCTGCGTTTGCTTCAAACCGATAGAGAGAAGCAGAAATGGTGAAAGCAAACTATCGTTTTATCGCATGTTGACACTGAGAAATTATTAATTATGTCAATCAATATTTGAGGGTGCATAGAGTTGGGGCTATTGTTGACCTTCTGCAATGGTTTATGATTGATTTGTCATTTTATGTTGTAAGTAAGTGTCGGCGTGAGGATAAGTGGAAATTGGGTTAGAGGAGGTAGAATAACATTAAAAATTTATGATGACGTGTTTGTCAAATACATGAGCATTATATGAAACTAAAACCTGTCACAACTCACAAGTAAAATTTGAAATTGTGAGTTATGATCAATGTACTATTGAAAAGTAATGAATCAATATTTCACCCTTTTTTTATAAATATTTTATTTTCATAACTTTAATGTCGACCTGTCAATGTATTTAAAACTCAGTACTAAAAAAATGTATCTTTGTGTACCTAGTGGTAATTCGTTTTCGATGTATAGCACATCTACACTAAATTTAAACGCCACTGTTTTCTCCCCTAATAATTTTGTAACAAAATCGTAAACATTTGAAGTTTCATTCCATTGACAATAAAGGTTATCAGATTTCCAAAAATGTTTGTCAGATTTTCGTAAAATTATAATCATTTTGTTTGCAATCTTCAAACTTTAGAATTCCACGTCATATGTTGTTAAGGATGCACAAAATTGAAATATTGATTCGACAGTAAAGTCATTAGTTAAAACATGGATTATTATTTGTTTAGGTAGAGTCGAGAGAAAGATAAAATAAAAAGAACAAATAATGTATTACATTTTTGCTTTTCAAATATTTATTTTCAGTTTAAACTTCAACTATTTCAGCAACTTAAAATAAACCGCATTTAATCATTTTAATGAAATTGAAATTCTTTTATAGATATTGTAGTAGACATTTTTTGGGGGCGAATTTTAATTAAGGAAAAATAAATTTTCTTTTTTTCCACATTTTCACAAATTTTAAAATTCACATAAACTACAGAAGTGCTTTAAACATTTTAAGTTTCGTGTTCAAAAACAGTTCGCCTTCCGGCAAAAACAGTTTTCAAAAAATCATATTTTTATGAATTCCTGTATTCATAGTAAGTAATTATATATTTTTTATCTTACATTGTTACAATTTCTGGTTATTTTCGATAAATTTAACAATATTTAAATAAGTGTAGGTATTTTAAATTTCGTCCCACTAAATTGAAAACAGAAATAAAATTTAACAAGCAGAAATTAGAAAAACGGTTAAATAATAATTATACAGACATAAAAAGAAAACGAAGAAATTAGAAGCAAACTGATTAAGTAAATATAAGACTTTTTAAAATTACAAAAAAAAGTACAAGCATACAAGTCTTACTATAAATTAAAAAAAAAACAAAGAGTCGAGTTATTTGTTCCTTAAAAAGGTAATATTTTAAACCGCCTTTTCATCTTTTGAATTTGTTTCTCTTATCTTTATGAATAATTTTATATACAAGTCCTCCATCTCATTTGATCTATTAAGATTACTTAACTGGAAATTTTGGTAAATAATACTTATTCTAAGACGTTACAAAATGTAGAGTTTCATATAAAGGGAAGACATTTTTTGCATTCTAAAATTGGAACTACTCCCTTTTTTAAATATTTTTAAACGATAAGGCGAAATCAAAACGCTACAACTGAGTTCAAAATATTCCAAAACAGACTTTACTTTCTAGGTTTTGTTTCCTAAATTGTGTATAGTCGTACCTCATAAAAACAAAATTTTCTATTTCTTTGAGTAGGTGGACATATGTTTGTATAAGTATATGGAATAATTTGTATAAAGAAGAAACAGTAACGTTATTAAAAGTAGTATTTTAACTCCAATAATAACCACATGTGTAAATAAATCACAAAAATGTATACGTCAACACAAAAAACAAAGTATAGAAAATATTATATTGAATCAAATTTTGTTATAACATAACAAATTAACATTTTTTATTTTTTAACTACCTTACCATATTTAAAGCTAAAACGCGTGCAACAGTCATATATATATACGACGAAAATTCTCATTCTGTTACAAATACCATTTGAAAACTACGTGTTTCTTTTGATCAAAATGGGCTCGGTTCTTGACGCGAAGACTCCTTTGCGTGCTGATGTTCGTTCAGCCGAAAATATTGTTAGAGTAAGGGAAAATGTGCCGAAAACCTACGAACTTCAATTCGTCACCGTTTGCAACATGTGGGAATTCCAGAAGCTCCATGTCATGAATATCTTGGTTTACATACAACATCCAGTTGATTCAAGAATTAAAACCTCCAGACCCTATGTTTGCTGGCTGAATCTTAGAACAAACTGCAGTTGATGGTGAATTTCTTTGTAAAATTATATTAAGCGGCACAACCCATTATCACCTCGATGATTATGTTAATAAACAAAATTGTCTATTTAGGGTCACCAAAACACAAAAGTGACTGAAGAAATACGGTTTGGTATAGTTTTTAGTGTAACGGTGTTATTTATTGTACCATATATATTTTTGTAACAAAGTGGCGAGTGCTACCGAAACACGATAATAAACTTTTTAAGACTTGAACTTGGAGATATGAATCTGGATAATGTGTTTTTCCAACAAGGGGGCGCTACGTGTTACACAGCGTGAGAAACAATAACTTTTTTTAAAAAGATATTTTCTTAAGTGGATCATCCTCGGAAAGTAACATCCAGTGCCTTTAAAATCTTATGATTTGACGACTCTAGAATTTTTCCTTTGAAGTTCCGTGAAAGGTAGAGCGTATGCAATCGATCGATCAGCGAAAAGCTAATATTCATGTAGTTATTACCGAAACCGACCCGCAGTTGCTGAAAAGGTTGTAACAATATTTGTGAAATATTGGGTCTTATTACATTTAAAATATAATGTCAGTGTCTTTAATTACCCTTATATAAATAAATAAATATTTTGTTTTTCTCTGAAAACAACAAACCTCTAAGTGCTTAATGGGATATCCTTTACATGTACTATAAAATACTTTTTTGCTACCTACAAATATTCACAACAAAGAATGTAAGTGCTTTCAATAAATAAATAAAGATCACCTAAACCTGGTATTTTTTTTTAATAAATATTTTGCTATAATTTTATCAATAACATTATTTGTATAACATATTGAGCATCAGTCAATAATTTTTTCGTTTTAAATAAAGAAAATATTTAAATTTGAACAAACGATATTACCAGACAAAATACATAAGTGCATATTCATAACAAAAAAAGTTTCTTAATATAAGATCACTAAAAATAGTAAAAGTATGTACCTATATTTTTAATATAGGTAAGTTTATTTTATTTTTAAAGAAATCTAAAACTAAAAAGCTATAAAGCAAGGAAATATTTTGCAAATAAATTTTTTCGTCGTTTATATTGGATGTTCATTTGAAAAAGTCATCAAGTTGACCCTGATTGTTTTGTAAACATTGCGAACTATGTCTATAATAAACCTAAAAGACCCCACAAACAACTTTCCAAAGAAAAAGAACAAAATCGTCACGACTTGGGCAAATAAAAGAATAATTTTAGAAAAAAAAGAAAAAATTCTTAAAATACACAACGCGGTAACACCAGCGGTATATGGACTACTAAAAATGCACAAAGGCAACAAGATCAAGTAGAGCAGAAATTTAAAAAATCACACGGTATTTCGTTAATAAGGAAATAATTCACAAGTTCTAAGGCCATATACAGATAGTTACTTCACAATTTTCACATAAATATTCCTTTCCCATTAATTCAGATATTTGGTATAATCCAATTAAGCTCTCTGGATTAGCTTTGAACTACGTTTCAATTTCGGTAGCACAGTAAGTCTTAAATGACAACATAAAGCTCACATCTAAAGGCTGCAATCTGCGTACAGAGTGTGTAAATAGCACAGAATCTTGTACAATTTTATGACAATACCGAAATAAAGTTTTCGTGAGTGAGAATAATGTACAACCAAAATTAGAAGAACCTATGTAGAAAAAATATATCAAATTAAGTTTACTTTTTCGCGAAACTTGTGTTTCTCCATTTATTTGAAAAACTTGGAATATTTTTCCCAATAATTTAAATTATTAAACAGAAAATGTGTTTAGTAGTACGACAAAAATAACCTTACCCAATAAGAGACTACCCGGTAATATGTGAGTTTCCTTTAGTTATTTCGGTGATAACTAAGAAACTTCCTCGTACTATTAGTTTAAAACTTGCGATAAATGTAGTAAATTATATGATTTATTCTTTTTGTTGTAGTAGTATTGTTGTTACCCCAAAATAAATACGTACCTATTAGTTATTTGTATCACAAGACCAAAGACTAAGTTTTTGCGAATACGAGCGAGTTTGCCAACCCGAGCGTTAGCGAGGCCACAAAAAATGGGTCTTTGCAAAAGCAGTTTCTGGCAGAGTGATGCACAGTATTTTTTGGCCCACGTAAAAGTATTGTTTATTAAGAATTTAATAATTTTATATTTCTGGACATAACAGAGTCACAGTAAGAATCGAAAGTGTCAGTCACTGCGCACTTTTCTTTGCATAGAGACCAATGAAATTGTTAGGCGGCATTTTCCACGGTCTAGACAGCGTATTTCCAGACTCGACAACAAAATAATATTTAGAAAATGGTGGCCCAAGGCAAATAGTATTTCATCTAAAAATGTTTGTTGTTTTTAATCACAATCCATAAAAATTTTACTCACTTTATGCGCTAAAGCGCGAAATCTTGTAGTGTGAAAATGTGTTGCCCTCTAAATATGTAAATATGAATGAAGTTGGTGGCAACATGTTTAGAAAGAGACGGAGTCGGAGAGAAATTTAAATAACAGAACTAATATAGAGTGAGGATAAGAAAGCGATATTCCTGCGCATGGAAGTATAACAAATAAGGAAGATTGAATAGGATCTAAACGCAAAAAATATAAAATGCACTCAAGGCGAAAAATGAACTATTATTATGACTACCAAGAGAAAAAAAAAGCGAACGAGCGCCTAATATATTTTTTACTCATGCGACCTCATTTTTTTCTTAACGTTAAATAAAAGTTTACTTAAAAATGTGTAAAGTATTTTAAATGTAACTTCAACAAATCAAAATATTAATTATTATTGTTACCCTTTTTAGTTAATTTATTAACATTTCACTTGCAAAAGTTCACTTAGATGCCTTGGAAATTTAAAGAGTGACTTCAGCATGATTTTTAACTTTGAATTAAATTTTACGTCAATTTATTCATCAATCATCAGTCTGGCTGTAACTTTAACAACTGCTACATAAAACGTTCCCTATAATAACCTTGCTTTTCTAAAATCTACCGACACTAGCAACATAACCTCACAAAATATTTTGTGCAATTTATTTATTGCGTTTAAATTATCCTATAATAATCATCGCACTGGTTAAAACAATTCGAGTTTGACGGGCCCCCAGGACGTGTTACGATGCTGCCAATGAAGGTGTTGAGGAAGACGAACTGCTCGAAGGGCTTCATCTCGGACTTCTTGGATACGGCCTGGATGTAGTCAACGATAGCTCGTTCGACGGGGTCGCACACTATTACCGGGAGAGATTCATGTGTTGCATCCAGCACCAATAAATTTATCAATTTGTTTAATTTGTCCTACAAATAATTTTCACTCTGGATAAAATAATTCAAATTGGGTCGTTCAGTGATTTCTGAGTGAAAATCAAGGAATCATTTCTAAATTCAATTTGACATTTACCTATAGTTTCCATGGCTAATTCAAAGACGCGATCGTCGAACTAAGACGGAACGTTTCGCGACAAATCGAATCGACCGGTAATTTCAAAATACGATACTGTGAATGGGCGCGATGCAATGATTGGAAAAAGTGGCCATTTTTTTTTTTAAACTTTACCTCCATAAATACCTACATCACTCAATAATATCTTTAAAGTGATCTCGGGAGATTATTATCGAATAAAAACCAATTCCCCGTGTTGACTCTTTATGTCCAAACTAAAAAAACTACAATAAAAGTTACTACATTACTATCTATTTCTGACTCATGTACAAATCAATTCTAGAAAAGTGATTAATTTTTGACTGTGACAATAAAACGGAAATCCTATGTTTACAAGTAGTCATCGGAAAAACAAACAGAAACATCGACCAATTCAGTACAAAACCCATAATGATAAATAAAACAATGTGTAATAAAACACTATAAGCACATAGCACCCAATTGAAAAATCATTGTTTAGTTTTTACACAACATGTTTACTGCCTTATTTATAAGGTGTAATAATTGATTGCGCTAAATATAATTACCCCGATTTAAACTTCTACAATAGAAATATAAAATAGTCCCATATTTTTAATTTGCTTGTGATCAATTTATTGTTTCAAAAGTTGGTCTTGCAAGCGAAAACATGCTTACAAAATTTGACGGCGGAGTAGGAAATGTTCAACAAGGGAGAAATATTCTATCTACATTTCTATAATTACATTGTTCCAACAAGTTAGTGTGGGGGAAAGCAGACATCAACTTTTTCTTCCCAATTAGGTTTAGACCATGAAGCTTGAAATGTATCTACTTAGTTAAATTTGTAAAACCATAAAAATAAGAGCAAACTTTTATTCGCAACATTCGGGTTTGGATAACAGGTGGGAAGCGGCAGCTGGAAGCTAATCCTTTAATTTGCATTTTCCTGAAAAATATTAACTGCTGGCTATTATTAGAAAACTAGAGCCTCATGAAACATTTGCAAATTTTCTCTACCATATAACCACAGCGATTATCGACCAAAGCGGAATTACTCTGGTTAGCTGACATGAACCATAACAAATTACTTCCAGGTTTCATAATCAATCACGGAAGAATGGTAATCTGTACATGTACAGTACTTATACGTTTCATTTGTCGATAATTTGTCATCTTGACACTAAATTAATAGGCTTAAATTCAGAAAGGTTTTTCCGTGTATTAATTGAAATGTGATTCGACTGTATCATATCACAGGAAACATGTATCACGGGGATTAAGTTCGTAATTAACTAAAAATCGAACGATTTCACGGAATTAAACGAAACAACTCAAACAAGGAAATTTGATAAAGTTTGTTTTATCGAAAGTTATAACCATAATGGAAACTGTCCATTAAGGAAACGTATCGGCGTTATGTTCTATATATTATGCAACACGGATACACCGTATCATTACATATTTCATCGTTGTTTAGATTAATAAAGAGATGAATTTTTTTCGTACCTTACATATAAATATACTTTGCAAACACGTGCACATTCTGCATGTTATTAAAATTTTAATTTCATCAGGGCACGATGGAGGGAAAATAGAACAATATTCAACACTCCCAACCCAAGGCTAATGAACGTATCATTACTCAGAGAAAATAAGCTTCTACATACAGATAGAAGAGGATCACGAAGCAGCGCCAGGGGACCCAGCAGGCAGCCAAGTATGGCATCTCTAAGAGCTCACTCCCCAAACTCTCAAGGTATCTTCTTGCCTTTCTTTCTTTCTTTCTTCTTTATAATAAAACATGTAACTAAATATGATTATTGATCTTAATTCTAGTTTCAACACAATTCGAATGGGTTTTTTAACCTGACACTTCACAGTTAATAAATTTTACTCAAAACCCTAGGGTCAAACGTTTGTTTAGTTCTGATTTAGTCTGACCTAATGAAATGCAATAATGAAACTCAATATTGATAATAACCGGAACTACTAATTAACAACTGCCAATATCAACACATGGTTGAACTTAACGAGAAATTAACGAGTTAGCAAAGTGGAAATATTACTATAAAAGTACCCAGACCTAATTCCTTGTCTATTATATCTACACAAAACTATCATTACGTATATACGTTTTCCCTTTTTTCAGTGTCACTGGAATGGGATTATTCTGTGAATGAGAGACTACAATACAGAAAATAGATCAAATAAATCAGTAGTGTGTACAAATTTAGTTTAACTAAAAATTAATACAATTTTTTAATACAAACGTAAAAACAAGACACAAATTTAGAGTGACATAAATAACATAAAATCTTGTATAATAACATATAAAACTCAGAAATTATTAAGATAAATACTTATTTGAGAAGAACAAGAAAACCCTGGACCCGCTCAATATTATTTTCTCTTGTTTCTGTTATCTATTGTTTGTTTAAATTAAAAACTTTTTCGAATTTATATTATCATTTACATTTAAAACTGCTTGGTCTGAGTGTCAAAAGCAATAACTAAACATTTTGAAAATCAGTTTTAAGAAAATCAGTGCTAGCAATTTTTTTTTTTTAATAACTGGACTGTTATATTCTTCACGTACCTGAACTTAATAAATAATGTATTATATTCACGACCTTTTTGAGACTTTACTTAGCCATAGTTTTTTTTTCTTTTTATTGGCAATAATGACTGATTGACGTGGTTTTGTTAATGTCTCCTCGGGCACGAACCTATCTTTCATAGATGGAACACTTTTTCAAAATTGGGTAGTTAATTAACGCGTTCCGCTTTGACCACGTTGCAATGAAAATGTGTGGTGGAAATGGACAATACACCATACCATTCGATGCAATTACATAAACCACCCACATTTTCTAGCAGATAAAGTCAAATGCAAGAATGAGTGGGTAATTACAGCATTGAATTTGTTCAACATATTTTGAAAAAACAACTGCGAGATCTAATTCAACCTTTTTGCATGATCGGAGAAAACGACCATTGGCAGACGAGACATTACAAAAAAAATGATCATGAGATCCTTAGATTACTCGCATATATCAATACAACCCTATTGAAATGTCGTGGGGGTTTTGTAAATCCTACTTCAACAAGCACTTAATTTTTCGGCCTTGATCCAAAAATAAGGTTAAGAAATTATGGCTTGAAACTCTTTCCATATGTATTCCAGAGAAATTTTGGTAAACATTGTACAGAATTTATTTCGTTGACTGAAATAAATACAGGGGAAATTTGACTTTTAAGAACATACCTCCGTTCGGTACTTCATTCGAGGTGTCTGATTCAGAATCAGTAATAAAATTGATGATAATGACGGGTCAGATTTGTTCAATAAAATAATGGATACTAAATTTGAATAATATGTAAAATTAAATTATTAGTAAGTGAAAAAGAAACTATAACTCTTAATATTATACTTAAATCCATCTTGCCAGAAGATAGCCGTTTCTTCTGAATTAAAGTATAACAGGTAAGAGTTAATTTTAAATGGTTGATTTACTATCCGGAAAACAAATTAGGCTTGCAGAACACCCATGAAGAAAAAACTGCATGATTCCTGTGAAAATACACCAGAAAATTATGGAACAGTTTGTAAATTTCTACAACTTTTAGTCAACAAAATTGGGCAAATTTTACTTTATTTAGAACTTAATTTGTTTTTTCTTTTGGGAGGCAATAATAACCAAGTTACTAGATTTCCATGGGCTATTCTGATATAAAAAGATCATGAATGCATTATACTATAGATATGGTCACGTATATGCCAACATTTTACATTTTAACATTTATAAAACCAAATTATTGAAATAGTTAATAGTTGAAGACTGGCAAGACAGTTCTTTTAAATTTATATTATATAGTAAATAAAAAATATATATATTGATTAAATATTCTTCTCCACTCCTGTCTGTTTAATGCTCTATCTTCCCAGTAGTAAATAAAATATACATAATAATAACAAATTCTGTATATTTATTGAAGTGCATAATGTATTTCATAATTTAAAAGAAATCAGCTAAACAACTGGAATGTGATGAAACTTCATTTGATTATGAGGAAACCATAGAATAAAAAAAAATTAAGAGGAACCGGAAAAACTGATATAAATTAAAGAAAAATGTATGAATAAGTTCAAAAAACCAGCCGCCTAGTCTTATATACAAAAAATGTCATTTATCTTTAAAATTCCTCGATTTCGTTTTGGTTCATTTGATATCCTCTCACTGCTCTTGACCTCTTCGAGAACATATTGAATCCCTCCAAGTTGTATACTCATTTCTCTGCAGTTTTCTTTGAGCGAATAAACAAATATATTTGTCAACTTATATGGTTATCAAGGACGCGAAACTTAATTATTATTATAATGAAAAACAGTCTTTGGTATTTTCAGATTACACAAACACTAAAACTTTTAGGATAATCGGAGGAAGCGGGAACACAAGTCGCTACATTACATTTTCATCACTTAAAAATATTGGCGAAATATAAGAAAACTAACAATTTCTAGATTTAATTGTCCTGTATAAGTAAATTAAACTGTCTTGAATTTTGAAAACGCAAATATCCTATGGTGTCTTATTATCAAATTCATAGAAAGATCGTCTAAACAAGTTAATATAAAACGCTGCTTTAATTATGAAGGTATGATTTCTTCGTTCACTACGTATTTTTTGTTACCTAGTATAAGGTTAAAACTTCTACTAAATCTGCTAGACACTGTATTCTTTACGTAACTATACAAAACTACAGAACCACTCACTTTTTGCTAGAAGACGAAGCTTGCAACATGCAGTGAAGTCACAATTCGTAAACGAAAAATGAATAGAGGAAATTGTCATGTAGCATCCCCTTAACTTGAATGGTCTAAAATTATTAGTGCTCTGGAATACTAGACAAGCTTTGAAATGTTCTGTACTGACAAGATCAACGGTAGTCAACGCTACAGTCTGCAGCTTTTCATTGTGTGGTCTAGCCTTTCATCTTAGAAACTCTGTAGCGATATAATAAACGCACCGTGACGTTCCTCTCGTATAGATGGTGTGACGCCAGTGATGGCAGGTATAATTCAGCGTCCAACAGGGCTCTTGTCCGGGAAGTAGCTGTTTCCACCCACTGGTTGATTCGATTAAGGTTTGCGACAAAAATGTAAACCAGTAAGTCACTACCAAAACCCCTTCTTACATCTCACTAATAAAATTAGGAAGGTAAAAAAAATGTTATCTATAAACGTAAACACGCATGAATTTTTCTGATCACCGCATATTTTAATTTTCACAACTTTTTTATTCTCTATTAATTATATTCGATATTTTTAAGATGGTGAAAGGCGGAGTTATACTTATGTATTCTCGTGTAATGACTACTCATAAAAACACTACTTCCATTACATATGTAACTATAATAATTAATTATAAACTAAATATACTTATTTAAAAAATAAAGAAATACTCTTTTACAAATTAAAAAAACCTTCCTTGCGTGTTATTTTTTAGGTGACAGTGGTAGTTCTTTTTATCGAATGTTATCTATACACAATATATATTAACACTTAATTTAAATAATGACAATGAAAGGAGGCAACCTAAAATTAATTGTCATTCATTTATTACTATATTTCCACAATAGATCAGCACGAATCAAATGTAAACCACATGGAATCAGATTTACTGAATACGAAAAGAGCTGACGTTAAATTGACTATTTCTACTTCAATTAATAACGCTTTTTGTAATTAGGTATAGAAGTAACTATCGACAGAGTTTATGAGAACTGTTTATTAACTACAGTGTCTGATAAAAGACCCCACCCCAAATAACTTTTTAATCTTCGTAACGAATAAAAATGCCATATGATCAAAAAAATCCGCTAGTAGGCCATGAAATTTATTTTTATGGGCACCTTACACAGTCAGTCGGAACGACAGTCTGATTGAATCAATCAGATTGACATTCCTTCAGTCACATTCATCAATTCATTAATTAATCTTGCGCTTACACGATCAATCAGATTGTCGATCCTTGTGAAACTGTCAAACTGATTGACCGTCTTGAGTGCATTGCAGTTATTTGACACCTATTTCAGTGTAACTGACAAATCGAACAAAAAACGCATCTGTGTTGCTAATATCATCATTTTAAAAATAAAGCTCATGGCTTACTAGAAGATTTTTTTCGATCATTAAAGAAAAATAAAACAAAATAATGTTATAAACTGTGAGTACAATTTCGTAACTATGTAGTATTTAATAACAGATTCAAGTTAAAATACCTGATGACTATTAATGGAAGTAATTTTTGAGTAGGAAATTCTGAATTATCGGCCGCATGTCAATTCACAGTTATGAATTTGCTACTCAATTGGTAGCCAAAACCTGACAAAAAAATTACAAACATTAATAGTCACTCGTTACTTAAACTACTGTTTAATGAAAATCACATGGTTATATAACTTATATATGTCTAAAGACAAAAAATAATTTCCAAGCTTAAAAAAGTATTGTATACATAAAACTTCGGAAAAAATTATTTTTTAATAATATTTTCACTTGTGCTTAAACAAGACGTATATTTTATTCCTTAGATTTTTCTTAATATGTAGAAAATTTAATTCATTTTTCCGAAGATGTGCAAACATAAACCCCTAATCTAACTCTACATAAAACTACTGTGTACCTTATCTAGTCTGTTAAACCATTAATCTGTTAGAATAATTTGTTTAATGCTTCTGGGACAAAACAGAAGGTTACTAATTTTACCTCTATTTTCGCACATTGCACCAACCATCCGCTTTCGCAATTTTCTGCATCTTCAAATCGTTTGTTGTCAGTTTGCAAAGTTGTTGTTGTAGAAGTAGACCACCATCCTTTGCTGCACTGGCCCACGCAATCATTGTGACCCTACGACAGGGCGTTTGTTTCTAGGATCACGAAGAGGATCTCGAGGAAGCAGCAACGCATCAGCGACATCTAATCGTTCGAACAAAAGTCCTCCCCAAGCTCCCAATATGAGTTCGGCGACGACGCCCATGTTGGAGAGCGTCACCGTCGAGGTGCAGGAGCCAAAGGCGTAATTACGGCAGCTTCAGCGCAAATGCTCTTTTCACGTTCACCCAGTGTATGTTTTAAGTATTCGAACATACCACAGGATGTCTACGTATTTTGAAAATCTACAATCTCTTTACTTACTTCGGTAGTAATAGTGATGTTAGGGACCAGGAAAGGTTAAATATTTGTCCATTCATCACGTTCAATTCACTAGAGTCAAGTTATTTGTAAGATATTCTGTAAATTTTTCTTCATTCTTCATTTGCTAGTTCACAAGGAAATCGTACAAAATGATCTAAAAAAAAGCACAGGTTTCTGAAACGTTATGAAGCACATAGATATTTACATATAGAGAGTATATAGAGTTAAGGTTACTGATGATATCTAAAACTTATCTGCTTTACTTAATTTTACTAAATTAAGTTTGGTGGTACAAAAAATACTGGGAATATTTTGTGATACTACCAAAATCAAGCTGTGATTGTATGTTAGTAGCTTTTAGGGACTGCTCTTGACAAAAAGTAGTGGGAAAACTTTTTGCCACTTGCAGCCTACTGTCATCGAAATGTAGTTAAACATCCCTGTACAGTTTAAAGCAAACATACAGTACAGTTCATGCTCATTGATAAAATATACCTCTATTAGGTTTCTCTTCTAAATCAAAATATAGATTTTGTTATCTAAGGATGTAGAATAGATTTCAATCTTAGATGTGGGAAATTGCGTTGTAATCATAGTTTTAAGAATTATTCATTGATAATATATCGAATATTACACACGAGCTTAGCTCTGCTTGCTTTATAATATACGAGTTGAATTATTATAAACTAATGTATATTAAAGCATTTTTATCAATCTATTATAGCTTATATCTTTATACTCTTGTACTGTAAACTGTATTTTCACAACTATATCCTATACTTGCCAATACTTTTAATAAAATGCTATTAAAGATTTTTGTCCTGCTTTTTACTACTCCTATATTTTATTACCACAACAGAATTAAACTGAAAAAATGAATTAAATTAATTACGACGTTTTCTTCATGTGGGTTGAGTGAATACAATTTCCTTTGTTCTAGATTTATTTGGTCTTCAGTCTTCGTATGTGCAAAATCACACAAAAGTGTTTTGAAAACTCTGTCGTTGTTCCTTAAATTTTATAGAGACTTTAAAAACTTAAGATTTATTTTGGTATTTTTTTTATATTCACCGTTACTGGTCTTTAAGATAGAAGGTTATTTTTTTTAATACCAAACAAATATTTAATTAAACACACTGACATAGTTCTGCAAAATATATACAAGTGAAATAAAAACACACTTGAATACTACAGTAAAGTTTTTACTCTTGATTCCCAATTTTCCACCTTTAAAATTATATGTTCTACCAGTGTACGTTCTAGATCACACAATCTACATAATCCTCTTCTTTATTGAGTAAAAGTTTTATTTTCCGTAAGTCAGCTTGTAAATCTTTCATTCAAAGTTTTCCCTTCTTATACGTTTTCTTTCTAGATAATTGACAGCTGTGTTTAATATCAACTAGGTTACAGTTCTTTACGCACACAATTTCTTTATAAAAATTAAATATAAATTTAAATCCCTGTTTCAGCTTTTGGTATTCTATTTTTGTCTAATTGTTTTACTATTTAACAACATAATCTTTACGGTACAATAATATTTTTTCTCACTGTAATATCCTTGCATTATGTTTCATTCTTCTTTATCTTCCAACATGTCGTATCTACTTTATGGATGTTTTGGCAGAAACCCTTACTTTTTTTTTTCGCTAGATAACCTAACGGTGCTCGGTTTAAAGCGATTTCAGATGCTTTTACTACATTTGCTCGATCTTCTAGTGTTCATTCTATTGGCATATCTTGACATCAACACACTCTTAACGAAACTATAAAACGGCCCAATCGCTTTCACACATCAAGTTTTTTTTCTCTTATACCTCACTGTAGTTCGATTTCTGAATACTTAAAAACAAGTTAATTTAGATCTGGCTTCTAATATTACTTCAGACTTTTGAAAACTCTCGTACAAAATATGTACCTTAAATACAAGCAGCGTTATTTATTACGATATAATTTTTTTTTAATTACTAGCACACATTGACTCAAATAACAATGAGTTAGACAACAATTTTAAACATTATGTTGCAAATAGACCCTCAGCTGGATATGTTGTACTGAATTGTTAAAATTTAAATTGTGTACCTAAGTATTTTATGTCTGATTAAATTTGCGATGTGAAAATATTGCATCCCTTATTAGTTGATTTTTTAAAGCTAGAAAAGGTTTTTGCAGTTGGAACATAAGTCCTCACAGGCCGAGTTCACAGCTTGTCCCTTCTCAGGAAGAAGGAATAAACGATTTGCCCTCCATGGTCTGAATTTTTCATTTTTTACACCATTAGGGTTCACCACTGCATTTGAACGCAATCCGCCATTAAAAAAAATACTCAACGCAGGGTTCCATTTTATTGCCCATCACAATTCAATACCAAATTTTAAATTTGTTGCAGGTTTTATAATTTTATGCACATGTATCATTTTGGTGGTATATTTGTGTTATCACAATACAGTTACTGATTTTAGGTGGACAGAAAAGTTCTTATGTCTAATAGTTGGTATGTTCTAAGAACCTTCTAATGAATGGAATTTTTTTCAAATGAAAGTAATGATAGGTTTTCGGTTGGATATTTTAGTTTGATCTACGTAAAACGCAATAATCGTTTTAGTAACACCAACTACATTTTTTGTTTGCGTGATTCATTAATAAACGAACAAACAACACACAATTGCAGACACGCCTTTAACAATGCAGAAAAGGTTAGATAACATCCATTTTTATTAGAATTATTGTAGGTATTTTTTTCTAAGACAGCACGTTTAATTTAGTTTTGTGTTACCTACTCTTGCTCATCTATATCTAACTGCACGTTTTTCTAAAAAATAATCACGTTTAATCACTTTGATCCAAAATAATCACAAGAGTGCCAACTAGTATTAACATCATTACTTTAGATTTTTACGAATAAACAGTTGTGCGACAAAAATGCGTTTCCAGTTTTACTTTAGTCCGTTGATTAACAGTATAATACTATTTAATCCTCAAAAGATTAAATAACGTAGTTACAATTTAGCCGTGAAGAATAAAATAATGCGTTTAATCCCGGGAGTGCAAAAAATGGATCCCTGCTCTTTATGACTTGCTATAAGTGAAAAACGGCTTGTATTTTTCGAATAAATTTATTTACAGTCTTTTCAAGAGATTATAACTTCCTGTCCACTTTAAAGTTCTTAGATAGATTTGTTTTTGTAGATTATTTGTTGTGATCCGAAGATCATTTAACTGAGATTCTTATAGACATAAATAACGATTTTTATAATAGGTATATACTTTTAAGTTAATATGGAAAGTGTTGTGTTTCAGTTTATTTATTTAAACCTTCTAAAGAGCACATTTGCACATCACGAATTCGCAACCATAATGATAATAATAATAATAACAATAATTCTAACACTTGCATGTACAACATATTTTTTTGTACTTTAATTTACTTTTTATATGTATTTTTTTTTTTCATACCGCATCACTGTATTTATAGTTAGGACATGTTCTAAATTTTATTATCTTAGAACTGTTTCGTCTTTCTACTGGAAGTACCTACCGCTCTTACTCGATACGTTAGTTAGGTTTCTTTCTGTTATTCATGTATACTGAGAATTTGCCATTCCCTGAAAACCAGTAATAACTAATAACATTCTGAATGATTCTGAATAGCTTTATATTATCTTGCACTCGGCTGCTATTTTCACAGCAGTCTGAGTGTATATTTGGTTGCCTACATTTCATTCATATACATATAATTTTTAATTTGCAATTGAAAGTTATTTAACATCGTTATACTCAACCGCTGGCGCTGATCACAGGATGTTTAAAAACACATTAGTACCCTTTAAGTTTATAATCGACAAAAAAAAATCCCCAAAAGTTAATAAATTCCTACTGTTTCACCAACAATAATAACACCTGTACTAAGTGGGTAATCTGAAACTAAATTGACTTGGAATTCAGTTTTTTATTAAAAACATTATAAACATAACATCTCTATTACATAACACTCTATCTGTTTGTTATTTGTTAGGTATGGCATGTGCACATTATAGTTAGGTTTTTCATTTGTCGAATAACTTATCTTAGCCTGACTCACAAGAATATAATAAATAAATACATCTCTCTTAAGATAATACAAGAACAAAAAATATTGCACAACACGATCGGATTTCTTACGAACAAATATGGCAAGATACTTACATCTAACAAGTACTTGACTAGGCTCTAATTTCACAACATATCACAATCTATATAAAACTGATGGCTTCTTTAAGAAACAAAAAGAGAGTTACAAGTTTCGACATAACATCAACAGTCATCGAACCACTGGAACTGTTCAAAGGACTGCGACGAATCTGTACTCTTCGACCATTCAGTTTTTGTAAAGAACGATAATTCTTGCGAAGTTCTTCATTTTCCTCAGTCTTCAAATACGGAAAAGCTTTCACCTATAAACAGATTTTGGAAACTTTGCTCAACTTAATTTTATTATGTTAAACCTGATCTTTGGAAATTGGTAATTTGTTAGTGAAAACGGTCCATATAATCCCTTCGGTGCAGCTAGGTGTCGTAAGAGACCCATTGTATCGATAAAAACCAGCTCTATCTCGTGGGAGGAAATCGTCGACTCTGATGTGCATTTCTTGGATTGTGTTGACTTGGTCTTGGATTTTGTCGATGACATCGATCAGAGGTACAAAGTGGGCATCGTCATCAGGTGACAACTAAAAATATGTTGGTTACTTTTGTCACTAAGAGCAGCGAGATAGTTACATAAAATAAAACTGAAAACACAGTTACACCACCAGTATATTTCAGAGCTTCTGATAAGTTTCCATATCTACTCGCATAATGAACAAGATGGAGTTCTAGTGGAAACCTATTAAGCAATAATTTGATTACTACAGCAGAGGGAATTTTGAACAAAGTATCACCGTTGATCTTCTATTACGTGTTCTGACTCCCAGTGAAAATGTAAATGGTCCAACACGTAAACATGGGGTAAACCTCCACCTTTGACAGTTGGTTGATTTTCGACGTGTAGTCGTATTTCAACTATAAAACAAACATAAAAATCCTAAGCGGTAATTTAAAATATCTAAAGTTAACAGAACTCTAATAGAGTCAAAATAGCCACGATGAATGAAAATATTTTGTATAAATTGTACCTGAATGTCCGTTGTTTTTAGACTGCACAGGGTAGGTAACATCATACTGTTCAAAAATAAATGAAGAAAAATTTTCTTCTTGAGCGATGTCAGCTGATAAAGCAATGGGCGACTGTTTGGTTCCCATTTTACATTCAATAGGCCAATCATCTATAATAAAAAGAAATATATAAAGAAACGACAAATTGGTATAACATCATATTTTTTTTTATTAAAACCTCTAGAACAACAATTTGTAAAATGGACAGGCTATATTTACTTATTTATATGAAAAGAAATATTAAAACAAATGGAACGTGAAGACCATTGTTGGAAGTCACAACGTGTTTCGACAAGTTTCTATTTAACATATTCATTTTATGAAAATGTTTATCGATTATTATTTTTTCCACGATAAATAAAATGCATAAACGTAGTGTCCCACTCAGTTTGCTCCTAAGATATTAGGTCATAGATCAATAATTAATTACTCGAAGCCGCACCTAAGAACATTTTGGATCACTACTAATACAGGAAAAATCATTCGTACTATTTGTAGAATATCTTAAAGAACAATATCAAATCAAATTTTCTTATCAAAACGTATAGAACCATGTTTTCGTTAAAGTAAACAAAAAAACAAATAAACAAACTTCTCAATCACCGTTTACAGTTAATTAGATTTATTTGTACATTTTGATAAAAACGAAAGACGTGTTTGCCTTACAAGAAAAAAAATGTAATGTACTTTTATCGGCACTGATGTAATATGCTACAAGCTGTGATGGTGTTGATTATTCACTTTACTGTTATCAGCATATCCTCATTGAGTAAATCTGTACTGCAGTAATCACAGCCAATAAGTCATCCAACTAAGTAAACATGAATGTCTTAGAATAAACAAATCTTTATCTTCCATCGAAACACCGTTGAACAAACAGCTTCTTTTATAGATAGGTCACCCCCACCATTGTCCTAATAAAAAGTAGTAAAAAATTGCCAACTTTCACAAATTTGGTAACTGTTTGAATTTAATCGGACTTCACCAAATTTAACGCGAATAAACAGTCTTATTTTTTAATCCTTATTAGGAAGAGTAAATATTAAATATTCAAAAATTGTGGAAAGAACCTAATCTGGAGTTTTGTTTTTCCACCTTTGGGTTACATTGACAATGTGTAGGATTAAGTGATGTACTAAAAACAATATGTGTGTATTTATCTGATGAATAATAAAATTCTCTCTATAACAGATATTGCGTCTGACATAAACATGTTTTGAAATTATATTTTGGAGGTAAAGAATACACAGAATTACAAGTCTGTCATTAATCTTTCTTTAAAATAAAATAAAAACAAATTCGGAGTACGTGATTTAATTGGAGATGTTTGTTCGACTGCCTAATTTTAAATATTACAGCTGAAATATCTCCAACGCGTCAGATTTTTTATTAAATGCACTACTCAAAGATAGTTTTGGTCCAACAGTGTTGAAATAACACTCAGTCTTGTTCCGTAGTAAGCTGCTTTTTATTAAGATTTACTGTGGATTATGAACATAATGAAAACAAATTGTTGCTGTTTCATTCTACGTATTTTTGTTTAGATTGCTATACAATTTTTTAGAGAATAAAACATTTTTTAACTATCTTAGTTCCAAGGTGAATTGCAGTAAATACATTTTATATATATTTTTTCTGATAGGTAATTAAATATGTCCGACAACTAGATATTTGTAAAACAAATAAACATATACGTTTCCTGTTTTTTTAACCATTCTGTTACACCATAGGATGGAAAAAAGTCCTCTATAGGTGTGAAATTTGTTCTGAAAATAATAATGTTGGCGTTGAAGCTATCTGACACTTTATTTGACAGTTATGTAACCGCAACTGTCACACTAAACAAAGTATGGTATAAGGATTCGCGGTCCATTATAGGTATATGAATTTATTTTATTATATCTTAGTGGCATTATTACCATTTATTTTATTCAACTTTTTTAGTAACGTTCTACTAATCCTTTTTTTATACTGGAATATTTTAAATAATACTTATAATAGTATTATTATTAATATTAATGAGGAAATGACTAGTGATTTCACAGTGAAATGTGCAAATAAGTCCAACTTAATCTAATCAGCAATGTGTTGTAAACATTTATATGAAAATGTTCAAACTCCGAACACATAATGTAATCAGTTTCAAAGGGACCACAAAAAAGAATTTTGTATAAATTTCGAAAGTCACAATGGAACTCTTTAAATGTATTTTTTTAATACCACTTACAGCAATGATACTTTATAAACATTGCACGAAATAGCACCCAAAAGAGAAGTTTTTTGCCGAGTTAAAAATCATTCCCAAGCATCAAAGACGCATTCTTTTGTAAAGCTCGAAATTTTTATTTTTGTAAAATTGTACACTCTTGATATTTCTAGTTTCAAGCCAAACGGCCTAATTTATTTAAAAACAGAAAACAGTCAAAGCAGTCAAGAAACTAACTATAATTGAGATGACATATTATATTACACGACAAATGTTAACTTTATGGTTCATCAAATTAAAAAAGTTTTAATTATACAAAGTTAGATCGTTAATGTTGCATTTTATTTGTAACCTAATTAATTATTATAATTTTTAATATACCTAATTAAAAATTTGTGAAAATTTATTGCTTTACATTAAACTAAGTAAATTAATATTCCTAATTGGCAATAACAATAAGAACTTGACTTCTATTTGAAATAGATTCTAAGAAGGTTTTTATTCCTTTATTAGCATTTTTAGAATGCACTCTTATCTTCATAAAAAAACTTGCTCATTTAACAAAATTCCGAGTTTTTTTTATCAAAATTTCTTGACATTGATACATATTTAAAAGTGAGATAATTCGAAGGTTGTGAAATATAACGTCACAAGGTGTATGTTAAGAATTTTTACTATGCTCTGTGCCAAATGCGGACTTAGCACAAATTATAACCACTTATACAATAATTAATACGTGTAAGTAATACATAATTGATATTAACATTAACACAATAGTAAGTAAATGTTATAATTAGTAACAAAGTTGTCGTCATTGTCTTTACGAATATACTAATGTGTAATATAAAAAATACTAAACGTGATTCATCTAAAAAAAAAAATACAAAAATTTAATACCCAATTAGACTCAAGCAAAAGTCATAAATTAGCAACTGTCGCCTTGTCTGCGATCATTTTTATTGATACTTATCTAATTTATTAATTACTTAATTACGTGTAGGTAGGTACGAGTTTACAAGTCTCCGAATTAACACATTGAAAGTTCATTATTTAAACAATTATGCGAAATATTACAGCAATTCGATAATTTACCTTCGTTGTAGTTCCAACCACTCCGAGCCAGTGACGCAAAACCTGGAACAAAAATAAATAAAAAAGTTGAAACAAAGTTACAGCTAAAATCACTATGATTATTACACGCTGTTTGAAAAAGTACTTAATTCTGAACATGTATTTCATATTTTCCATTGTGATTGCTGTAATGATGTTATATTTAATTATGTGTACACGTTCATGGCCGAGAATACCAAATAGGTTAAAAATATTCCAGCTTGCAATTTCACCTGCTTATATTTTCCCTTTGTGATTTGTAAGCAAAATTTGAATTTCAAAACAATACGTGATAAACAAAATAGAGTGATTAACAAAGTTAACACTGGTTTGTTGTCGGGAAAATACTTTAAATTATTTGTGGATGACAATTCAACGTTTGATTTAAATTTAAAAGTTGAACCACAGTTTAAGTTAATTCGATTCACACGATAGATTTAATGATGTCAATGTTAATCGGAAGTAGTGCGATCCATCGGAAGCGACCTTTACAAAAAGAAATGCAATCATATGTTATCTCTGTTGCCTTCGATTTAGCGTGCTGTCACCAGCATATACGCTTACTAAGGTATCGTAATTGGAAAATACTAATAATGATACTAGGAGATTAAAAATTAAAAAAAGTGCAAAGTTTCGCCCGTAGTGTAAAATTAAACTATCGACAACCGATATATTTTCGAACAAGAAATTAAAAGAAAAATTATCTATTGTTAATAAAAAAAATATATTCAAAATAAAATAAAATTAACTTACCTGAATGTAAAAAAGAGCCGAGCATCACCATACACGCTAGTCTTGCAATTGTGTTAACCATAATGCCACTGTATGAAGTGAACTAATGCGATCACTGTCGATAAACTAACTGCTTCCTAGGAGAGTCTCCGGTGTACTACCAGTAGTCTATTGGTAAACTGCCCTTCGATTGTGAAGTATGGGCGTTGGACGTCGATCTTATTACTTATTAGATTATCTTTTCCGCACCCACCACCACTCGCACGTAAAGAAAGTGTAAATTAAAATTTTGCATTTTCGCTCTTTTATCATTTATCTCTTGTATTTGCGCGCAGTCATTGATGCAGTCAGTATTGAGTTTGCACTGACGCGAACTGATGCTTTGATCCTGAACACAAAAGTTTTACTGCAGGAATTTCATTTTGATTTTTTATAAAAGGGATTAACTGCGGACTTCCGGGTTATTTAGGGGCAAGCAAGTGTAACTATGCATTATGTAAATTGTAAGTTTATACTTTTAACAATAATGGGAAAGAAAACAATTTTTAAAGTGATGTTACGGTCACTGAATGTTTTGACAAACATAATGAGAATTTAAAAAGTGAGATTTGCAATTATGTAGCACTTTATGACACAAAAAATTTTTATCTTCCAACGGTAATAATTATAAGTTACTTAAAGAGGCAATGATTCACTGATTTCGCGCTATTCTCATCATAAATTTTATCTATATTTCCTCATAAAGTAATCAGTTTTAGCCGACATTATATTATTTAGATTCAATTTTTTATTACATATGAAGTTTACAATAAAAGGTTGTAATGGAAGGAATCGTCAAAAAGTTAATGGCCACCTCAAAACTCTCTGACTCGGTGAAATCAACTTATGCCTGTGGAGAAATAAACTTTCTGCTACTGTCAGAATTGAAATATTCTATCATTAATTAAGTATATTAATTTGTTTATAGATATTACAGCTAGTATTTAATAATATTACTTTTCGAGCTTATACAGAAAAAATAAAAACGACGTGAATAAGGGGCATGCACATTTTGCATATTTAAATTTCTGAACTCCGACAGTGAAAAAAACAACAGTTATGAATATGTTAATATATTAAATTAAAACAGATTAAAAATTGGTCTAAGAACTCTTTTCTCCCCGAAAGCAAGCAAATGCAGTTTCTTAAATAAATTGTAAAATTTGATTCTACAAATATTATTAATTTTTTTTTATATATTCATATATAAGAATAATATGGATTATTAAATTGCAAGCAAAGAAAAAAACAGTTAATATCCATATGTTTCAAGGTAGTATTAACTGCCAAATGTGTCGATTTAGATAGATGCAGTGTGAAGTAAATAGCAACAATACTTTTTTCCAATTTAAGAAAAATATGATAAGTCGTTTCTGATTTAGCAATAAAATAAATTGCCTCATTTATAACTTTTTTGCAACACATTATATGAGCAATTCTAAAAAATATATAAACAGATAAACTTTGATTAGTGATATATATTTGTGTTAACCTTAAAATGTTTATAAGATTTCAGGGCGGTCGGTTCTGTCATTTCTAATTAAATTAAAAAATGTTGAACAATTTTGTTTTTTTTTTTTAATGTTTAAGATAAAAACATAACGACAGATTATTTTGTAAAACTTAAAGAAAGTTTATCTTGGTGGAGATGATCAGACAAATTTTAATTAGTTTTATCATATACATGATATCATACAAGAAAAATTTAACAACAGACAGTTCAAGAGTATCTATGTCGAATTAAATCAGAATACAGACGCAGACAGACGGAAGGGGGAGACCTACTTTTTCGCACTCTACACGCTATCGTGATGTCGCAATCATGTCGCTAAATTAACTTGAGATAAATTGGCCCGTAAGCCAGATTTCTTAATTTTTATTGAATTTTTATAAACAACAGAAAAATATCTCGATGTCACAAATGTGGAGATCTTCTTAAATACAAGACTTGCATGTTTTTACATAATCTAGTAGTATTATCACAGCTGAGAGGCCAAGGAAAATATTTTTATAAAATTTTAGTTAAAGAAGTGGTGGCAAACATTAATTTTATATTCCTAAATTGTAATATAATTTTATCTACAGGTAATTCGATACTAATAGACAAGTAAAAAACACATCAAAAAGGACTACTAACACAAACTAAACAAAATAAAAAACTATTTATTTTACTAGTAAGAGGGCAATAAAAAATACGACCAAAGACAGCTATGGAGCAAAATCGAGATATTAATAAAAATATTGTCTCTTTTCTCTGGGACATAAAATAAATAAATTTGATTAAATATCTAAGAATCAGATACATTTATCAAACAATCCCGACACAAGTTTATTTTTTACACAAGTCAGATTTAAACACGAAATATAAGAGGTTTTAATTATACTTATGAATTTTAAAGCTCTGTTGAAAACAAAATGCGGCAGTAATGTCTAATTGTACAAACAACACACGGGTAAAAAAATTGTACAACGGTTATTTCGACAAAACTTCCCTCACCCTTGAAGTTGAGTACAACAAATCCAAATTTTTTGAAAAATTGTAAAATTTACCTTATAAGTTAAAATAAGAATATGTATGTAATGTTAAAATAAAGATAAAGAAGCATGTTACGCGTTTATTTTATTTTTATAAGGACACATACATATATCAATTTGGAAATATAATGTGTAGTAACATTGTAATAACAGTACTGCATTCCCAAATTTTCGAGAAAATGGAGTAAGTCGTTCTTGATTTTATCAATAAAATAAATTGTCTCATTCATTTTTTTTTGAGTCGCCCTGAGAAAATAATTCTAAAAACCAGGAGCGCATTCATAAGTCACACGTATAGAGCTACAATATTTTGCATATTTAAAAAAGGATATATTCCGCGAAATTTTGAGATGACGTCATCAATTTTTTGGGAGGGGATAAATGAGTAAATTTTGATTAACGATTTACCATGATTATTATAACTTTAAAACTTTTGCGACGTTTCGGAGCACTCGCAGTTTCAAAGTTAAATTACAAATTGTTGTTATACAATTATGATTTTTTTTTTAATTTGGATAACTCAACATAGATCCATGTACCAAAAGTTCAGGAGAATCTTCTTTTAAAAAATAAAAAAATCTCTTGTAAATTTTGGAGATGACGTCATCCCATTGGTGGTGGGTTCCTGAGATTACATGTATAATAAAAATCGATACAAACGCCAGAGAGACTGAAACGGGAAATTACTTTTTTCGTACTCTAGGGGTCATGAAACGTCGAGAAAACCTGAAAGCAGCGATTCGTCGGATGGACTCTATTCCTATACTTCCTTGGCTTACCTCAGGATGTAAAAAAAATTGCTTTCAAGCCTGAAGTACAATGAAACATGTCTAGCATTTTAGAAAAACTGTAAAATTCATTAAATATTTTGAGTCATCCAGTATAAGCAAATGTAAAAAATAGGAATGTAATGATAAATTACAAGTACCTATAGACTAAACATATTTTGCGCATATTAGATAGGATTTATTCGGCAAAATTTTTAGATGACGTATGACGTCATAAATTTTTTTGGGATTGATAAACAGATACATTTTACTTAAAAAGCTACCATGCTTACAATAACTTCAAAACATCTGCAAGATTTCAAAGAATTCGATTTTGCAGTTCCAGATTTAATCATAAAATACATTGACTCATTCATTAATTCTTTTGAGTCGCCCTGTATAAGGAAATCTAGAAAATATGAATGGAATGATAAATCACAAGACACACATATTTTGCACGGTTTCGATAGGTTTTATTCGGCAAAATTTTGAAATGACGTCATCAATTTCTTGGTGGAGGGTAAACAGATATATTTTGATTACAAATTTACCATGCTTACGATACTCACTGAAACTACAACATTTTCCGAAAAAAAATTAAAACTTCCTTCCATAATATCTGAACGATGGATTGTTTCATAATAACTTTTTTTGGACTATTAGTCACATCGAAAATTATTATATAGTTTTCCAATTGTATGTATTTTGCACTGCTGATAATCGCTAACAAATTACAAGAATTCAAAAGATTTTATTCGTAAAATAAAATAACAAACTTTTAACAAACACTACGGATGAGTAATATTCGATTATATGAGTTATAACTTATAAATCATCTAAGCTATAAGCGAATTAACAAGAAAATCTTAATCTAGATTGCGTTAATTTTTGACATTCCCAAGGTATATCGTTATACATAATTTAATACACCCAAAAAAGAGTCACATACAAGAAATAATTTTTTCAGTGTAGCACCTGCTAAGCAATAGGACACCAAAAAAAACTTAAAAATTGATAGATATTCCAAAAATATATATATTACACTTAAAAAACCGAAAAACATTAACTGTGTATAAATTAGAAAATAAAAATGAGAAGGTAACAGTGTACTTCATAACATCATTAGAGATTACCTTCAATGTCGCACTCTTCTTCCTCGAACTTTTAATTCTTCTTGGCTTTTATTACAAAAGTGGACGAAACAGCGAAACCGTTTTCAAAATTGATAAAATTCAAACCGGAAAACATGTTTCTGTTTCTGACCATGAAAGCTTCGATTCCACTGCACTAGCACTTTTTTTTTAATCTTTAGGATAGTTGTTCTTCAATGAATCCAAAGTCTTTTGAAACTAGGCGAATGTCGTTCTTCTGTCCTATTTTTTTTATCACCGACTAGTGATTAATAGGTGCACCGTGACAATTTCAGGTTTGTACTTTTAATGTGAATTTTCAATGTCACTTAAACCCGGTTGATACAAATATTATTACTCAGTCATGCACTTAGTTGACCATGTGATCAACATCAACAATCACATTCGCAAAATTAAGCCTAAATATGTCAATAAGCACTTATAAGATATTCATTTTCTCTTCACAAGTTTACCTGCAATATGTTTCACAGACTTTTAGTTGAAACTGATCTTCCAATCCAAAATTGTAACTTTTATACTATGAATGAAAAAAAATCGATAAAATAACATAATTTACTTGAGAAATCATTTTTATTATATTTATTGTTATTATTATTATTGTTTCATCTTTATAAAAAAATGAGATATAATGATAATAATGAAAAAACATTTTAAAGTTTTAAAATTTACAGAAGGATATCGAATGTGAATGGTTTCGCGTAATAATAATTAGAAATTTATAACAAAATAAATACTTTGATCTACCTACTTCAAAACGTCAGATAACTAAAATCTCACTACATGGTAATAAATAAAATCTATTGTATAGTGAACATTATTAAGTCATGTACGACAAATGTTTTATTTAATTCTTTTAG